CATCATCATCATCATCATCATCATCATCATCATCATCATCATCATCATCATCATCGTCGTTGTGTCTCCGTTGTCTGCGAATGCTGCCCAACAATAAATTAATTTATTTCATTTTATATAAAATTCGAAACGTTTTCTGCGCCCGAGTCTATTTTTCATTTTTCGCCCCGCCCCCCGCTGCGCCAACGCCCTGAATCGAGCACATATTTATTTGTATTTATTGGCATGCGATTTCATTTAGAATTTTCGACTTTTTGTTATTTTTATTATTTATTTATTTTCATTTTGATAAAGTCAAAGACGGAAAAGCTCAGCAAAAATATTTCTCATTTTCGTTTCGTTATGACAGAAATGTGCGCAGCTATCGCAACTGTCGGCACTTGGCTATATATCTATATATCAGGCTATACATCAGACACACACACACACGTGATTTCTCACAATTGCTTAGCGCGCGCTTTCATCATTTTCATTCTCAATATTCTTTTTCTTTTCATTTTCATTTTCATTTCTTGCGCTGTCCAAATATTTGCCAAAAAGCCACAAAATTTTATTATTTTCAGCGATAAATTTATAGAAATTTTTGTAATGTGGATGAACACATTTTTTGCACATTTTATATAGATAGATGTGGCTGTGTGTGTGTGTGTGTGTAAAAATATACAATAAAATGCATTTGTTATTTTTGCTAAAGCGTGAAATAAATTTCAATAAGTCGATGAATTTTGCTTTTCAGTCTATTGCGGTTGCCGTTTTTATTAAATGTGTACAAATTTTTACAAGTTTTTATTACATATTTCAAATATTGATCAAAGCAAAAGCAACGAAAATATAATCATTTTTGCTAAAGTAATTAAAAAGTATTTATTTATTCAATAAATTGAAAGCTTTAAATTTGTACTTCTATTAATTTAATATATTTTAGTTTTGATATTTATCTGTATGATTTATTTTGATATTATATAGTTATTATATTCATTATATTCACTATTATATTCATAATTTAATTTGAATTCTTTTTAAATACATCTCAAATAAATTTGAAAAATTTTTATATATTATTTATGAACTTTAAAAACAAAAAGTATTGTTTTACATTTTTATATATGTTTTGATATATAATTCAGTTTGAAATGAGTCTCAAAACGAAGGAAAAATATGTAAAATGAAGTTTTTGCTTTGGCTTAGAAATTTCGCTTAGAACTAGAGCCAATAGAAAGCAGCTTTTATGTATATGCACCTATATACCCATATACATATGTACATGCATGTGTGTGCTGTGTACTTTGCATAGATTGTCCACTTTAGATTAAGCCATGAATAATTTATGTGCGTCTCTTATGATTTTAATTGTTTGCAATGGCAGCTTAACAACTCTTCCTGCGACTTCCTTGCCCTCCCCTCCAACCCCCCTCCCAGCCCACACCCGTCGCCCCGCTCTGCCGCTCCCTCATTCTACCGTTTTTCGCCCTGGCTGGCCTTTATTATTCCTTTCGAACCAAAACAACAACAACAGCAAAAACAGCAACTGCCAGCAGGCAAGCAAAAAAAAAAAACAACAACAACATAAAAACGAAAGCTAAAAGCAAAAACAAAGTAGCGCCCCAAAAGCAAATGCAAAACAATACAAATTCATCTACAAGGCCCAGAGCAACTTTATGAGTGTGTGTGTGTGTGTGCCTGTGTGTGTGTGTTGTCCAGTTCCCCCTTCCACGACACGCTCCGGCCACTTGGCCACTTGGCATTGGTCTGCTTTAGCTGCTTCTGCTGTTGCTTCTTCTTCTCCCTCTTCTTCGCTTTGCACTGCTGTCCTGCCCTTCGTCTTTAGACACGCAGACATTTGCATTTCCAACACACACACACACACACACACACACACACACACACACACACACACACACACACACGCACATGCACACAGACGTCCATTGCTTGAACGGTGTGTGTGGCGCTTGTTCCGTTGCTCCTCTCCACTTCGATTCGCTCGCTTCCTCTCTCTCCTTCCCCCACCCCCTTCTCTCGCTCCACACCTCAACCTCCGACAGCACCCGCGGCGTCTGCTGCTCAACTGGTTGATTGCCCTCTGGCCCGGCGTAGCCCCTTCCGGCGTCTGTGTCTGCACTTTAAGCGTCGTCGCCGTCGCCGTCGTCTTCGTCTTCGCATAGTCGTTCCATTTGGTTTCTTTTTTCTCAAAACGAAAAAAAAAAAAAAAATTATATGAAAATTATACCAATTCAACTCATAAAATTTTTTCCGCAGCTTAATAAATTTGCAGACATTTTGTTCTCTGCCCTGCTCTGTGTCCGGTCGTGGCTCCAGTTGAAACTTCATTGGCCCGTTCCACTCATTGTATGCGCTCCGGTCTTTAGACTTTTAAATACTGCAAGTTATTGGAGACCTCTACCCCTTACCCCTTAGCCAACAACCACTTTTCATGCTTAATTCCCAAGCATCTCTCTCTCTCTCCCATGCAGATCTCCCTCTTCTTCCATCTCATTCCACCTTAGCATATTTTATACAAAGCTCATTAAACCTGGCTCATACATTTCTGTTTTTCTCAGTTGTGCTCTTATCGTATGCAATCTTTATGTTCCAAGTGAATATCGTATGCATATCGAGCATATTTAAGACAAATATTGCTTACAATGTTGTATGAGATACAAGTACGCGTGTATACACATATATCTACGTACATATATATTCTATAGTGATTTTATTATGCTTCTTATCGTATGTAATTCTCAAGTACTGACTGAATATCGTATAAGTGAATTATGAATATCGTATGTTTGTTTTTAAGCATATATGACCGAAAATCTTTCCTTTAATTTTTCCATATAAAAACCAATCTGATTTGATGATGATGATGATGGCTTATAATAATAAACTCAATAATTAAAACTTAACTTTTTTCGAATAGTTGAATTACTAGATACTAACATGATTATAATTATGATTATTCGTATATGCATGTTCATTAAATATGTCCAAGATATGCATCTATTCATATATACCTTCTATTTATTTTATTAATAACTTAAAATCGGTTTTATCGTATCTACTAACTGAATATCGTATTGGCATATTCAAGACGAAGATTAAGTTATTTCAATGGTTGAATTCCACACACTATTCTTCATGTTCACCATGAATATCGTACACCGTCAGAAATCATAAGTTATCCTCTCAGATTTATGAATAGAACTTCGGTGAATCACATTTCGTTTAGCTCTTGCGATTATTCAAATCAAAATCAATGTTCGATTGGCTTGAATTGACTGTCGGAATGGCAAAACTTAATCAATATCTCAATAGCAATCACTCAATCAGTTGTTTATTTTGGCTCTTCGCTTGCTCGGCTAAAAATTTCAGATGCAATCCGGATGTATGAAAGTACTCGTATCTCTGCCATGATAGGTGGATGCTGGATGCGTGTGCCATCAATCAGTCAGGCAAATTGCATAGAATTTTGATCCATATCCGCTGTGAATGAAACAAATGTACGTGAGAGGCTCGTACATCCATAATTAACGCTGCTACCAAATGATTGACGGTTTGTTGTATCTCGCAGATACAATATTTACGCATGCCCGCCAGCTAGTCGATCGAAGCGAGACCAACTATACATACTACTATATATACTTGTGTGTGTGGGGGGGTGGGGCAAGATTTAGAGTTCCTCTCAAGTTGGGGCCGGACCACCTGCTGGGCAGGAAGCGTGAGTTTTTTCGGGAGCCTCCACGGCACACGAATCGAAGTGAATGACAAATGTAAGGGAGGAGAGAAAAGCTTGCCAACGTCTGAAACATCTGAACATTTGAGTATCTCAGCATTTGAGCATCTGAGTATCTCAGCATCGCAGTGTCAAGTGATGACCGCTCGACGCCTTCGAGATTGAAGGCAAAGCAATTGCGGAAGTTTTATGTTTTTGGCTGTGCGTAAATCGCTCAAGAAATCAGCTCAAGTGGAATAAGTTGTGGCTGGCCACTCAAGGGTTACCGACTTTCGCTCCGACTTCGGTCAACACTTTCCACCATAGCTAGGTGCCCAAGAAACACCCACCAGCTCGGCCGACAGGCAGTCAGGAAAACCAACTAACCACCCACAGCATCCCATCCCCCTCCCTGGTTTCACTTTGGGAAAAGTGCGTCGCTGTGGAGGCTGTTGCTGCATTAAACAAATTGATTTCGGATGGGAACATTCGCCTGCGTCGGCATTGATAGAAATAGTATACGATATGTTCGCCTCGACGATTCCAGGCGAGCGTCCAATCGATATAATGTATGTGTGCTGAGCACGAATTGTGGATAGCCAAACAATCTGGCTATGGCTCTTATCGACGAGACCGAGGAAGAGGGGGCGCAGGGCGCAGGGCTGGCGTCTGGGCACACCTTGTGTTTACCTTTGCCAATAAATTCACTTAATTGCCGGGAAATAATCATAAAGCAATCGAACGTAATACGAACGATTCGCTCGATAGCAGCACCGACTCTATGCTCATGTGCGCATCGATTATTGTGAAATATTTGCTTTGCGTTTCTTCTTCTTACTCACTCACGGTGCTAGAGACTATTTGCGAACATATAGAATTATGTTGAAATCGATTTGATGCGCTATATACATATAGATATAGATATAGATATAGATATAGATATAGATATAGATATAGATATAGATATAG